CCCCCCCCCCCCCCCCCCCAAAATTAGAAGATTAGGACTTCAAATGGTAACAACACATGCATGAAACACTTTGTAATATTTTAAACAAGAGGCAGCAAATGCAATACAAGTTTTAGGTGAGAATTAGATGAGCGTTAATGAATGCATGATTAGATATAAAAAGAAGCTGACGGATTTAGTTTCAATATTGCAAGGAAGTTATAGTTTAATTTAACTGTAATTAGTCAAAATTTTCTTCCTCCCTAGAAAACAGAGCATCTGAAGACAACCTTGTCTTCCTCCCCACATAACAAAGCATCACATTTACAGGGAAGACAATTCTCATGCAAGTCAATGGCAAGGTTGTTAATCACACTTGTAGGTCTCATGGCCCCAATTAAGCGTGAGAACACTGAAATTGAAATACTTTTCATGGAGAAGACATGACGGAAGTTTTTGGCAGAATGGAAAGCAACCCCATCACTGATGTGTCAAACCCAAGCCATGAAAGATTTATTCTTGCAATTTTGATTGCAAGTAAGGTTTAAGATTATGGGAAAAATTGGTTCATTGTGCAATAGTAGGAAATTATTAAATAAAGTTAGGTTAAGATTCATTTTTTATTTGATTTCCGAATGGCATTTCTTATGTTTTAATCATGTTTTAGTTGCCTTTCCTTTTGCTTTTATTATTATTATTATTATTATTATTATTATCTAATAACTTACATTTCTACTCCTATGTTGATATCGTGCAGGTTGAGAGGCTTATTATAGTTGGATTCCTCCCACCAAATGATAATAAAGGTTTTTTTTACAACCAATGCTAGGGTAAAGGCTTTTTTCAAAGCACTAATAAAGTATCCACCACTAATTAGATTGGAAAATAGAGTATGGGGTGTGAGCTCTGTCTTTGTGTCCATTCCCTACTTGTCTATAGATGGGAATTATCTGTTTTCTTTGTGGAGGAGGCTTGATGGAGAGGCAATGGCGATGCTAGATCAACTCCGACAACTATTGATGTTTATCAAAAGCAATAGTTCAATAGATCCCTACTGGGGTGATATGATCAACTTCTCATCAATGGTGGCTAATGAGTTCAGAACAACAAGAATGGTTCTAAATGTCTAAGGCTATCAAACCTATGTTAAGAAGTTCCTATTTCCAAGTAATATCTTCATGAAGGTCATCAACTGCATATGGGTGCAACAGGTAGACGAAGGCATAGTGAAGTATCATTTTGAATTTCAACCTATTACATGCGATACGTATACAAGTTAGGAGGATGAAAATGATGTGCACAATGACCTATTTGTTGTACTGTGGAATGCAAGAGGATAATTAAGAGTTCATTTTGGGGAAGTAGTCAACTTTCTCCATCGTTAAACTCTACCAACTGTCATGATAAGTTTCAACACTACTGTGTCTAAGAACTGAATAATTGGCATAGGAAATGATCAAATCATGTATGATAAAGTTTTTATAGCACTTGCATTTAACAGGGTGGGAGGAATGATGTGTCAATAATTCAAAAATAGGGTGGATGTTGCATGTGTGAATTCAAGTACAAAAATGGCATCATATATCTTAGTTTCAATCACCCTGAGAAGGTATGTGGGGTTGCGTAACTAAAGGGCATGCTAAGGAAGTGACTTAGAAAGATTTTGAAAGCAGTTGATATGAATATCTATGCTTTAGGTAATGCAAGAGGGTGGAATGGGAATTGTGTGATATCAAACTTTAGTATGCTTTTGTTGATGCTGCCCTCTATGGACTATCCTTCACCGTTAGGGGAAAGTTTACTTAATATATATTTTGTGTATATACTTATGTACATTCCTTTCTCTAATTAACAATGCGATTTATTTCCAATTGGTAACACTTTGTACTTTGGCTATTAAACTTCACAAGCTTCTATTTCTAGAAAATAAAAATAAAAATAAAAATAAATCATGAGCTTCTATAGAATTAGCCAACGGGAATACTATAGTTACTCTTGAACAAATTCAATAGTTTATTCTTATTAATATTAACAGTGATAATTTCCTTAATTTTGAAAATATTGACACATTGTTGTAGAATATATAAAACAATACTGGGAAAAGAGCTTTTGTAAAGTAGCAGACTTTCCCTTTCTGAAGGTTTTATATACACAATGATTCAAATTGAATAAATCCAATGACAAATAATAAATTTAAGAAAGAAAAAACACTTTTGCTAGAGTAGTAGTAAAACTAAAACTATGCAAATAGTTGCTGGATTACAGTCTCAGCATTTCCATTGTATTGTGTAAAGAAATGGATGGCATCAACTCTTTGCAAAGCAAGAAATTGTTGCACAAAACAAGGATATAAGCTTATTACATTCATGAGGAACCGAAGTCCATCTATAAAATCAACCACATAATGTAGAAAATAAACAAAATTGGCACTCTTAGATCCAACAACAAAATCATTCCAGTTGTGTATGTGGCTATGTGTAAGGGACATGCTCAACTTACCATTACTTTCAGTATTGCATTCTCATCACAAACATATGTGGAAAATGATTGATTAGGACTACTACCATCTTCTGATGTCTGGGTGTTTAAAGAGACTAACTTGTAAAGATCCAAAGCTGTAATTATCAGCATTTGACTTTGATGTGGCATCAAAAACAATGAAAGCAACATTATTTTCCTTCAGCAAATCTATTCTACAGAGATTTTCAAAGTGATCTTTACACGTTTGGAGTTTAAACCATTCAATATGTGTGTGAAGGGTTGCTCTCATTATCCTCATGATCGTAAAGGTTCATCAATATCAATTTTTTTACCAACATGAACCTATATAAAATAAAAACGAAAAAGGAAAGAAACAACATAATTATGTTCCATGCAAGAAAAAAAAAAGTTATTAGTTACAGATTTAGAAACATAAATACATTTCAAGAAGTCAAAATAACTAGCAATCCATATAAGAATGTAATAGAAATTTTGCTTGCACAAAAAACAAAACTGAAACTAACTTTTCCTTAACATTTTTTTTAAGATGCAAAGCAGCATAAGAAAATCCATGTAAAAATTTTCAGTAGAAATGCAAATGAAATAAGACATATGCTTCCACCAAAACACTCAAAATGGTTTTCTTTCAACTCTTTGATACGCTTTAAATATTTTCAATCAGTATATTTGTGATTATGGATCACAAAATCAAGAAATTTGTAATTAACATGATGAATTTATAATAAAAGCCAAGATTAAAAGAAACTTATCCGTGAAAATACTTGCATAGAAAACTAGTAAAGCATTACATTACTCAAAATTTTTTAGCTAGTTTCGCTTGATAACAAGAACAAATTGTAGCTAGCTAGAAAATCTTCTACATCATAATCTACAAAAACAACAACTTAACAAATTATGAAACCCATGATAATGAACGAAGCATTTTGCTATCATTCATTAGTAAAGAAGTCAACTATATAAAACCTTCAATTTTTTAGCCATCTTGAATTTCCAGGCTGGTTTGATTCACTAGTGCTACAACCTTCAATTTTGATGCTTGGCTCACAAGCATATCTTACTTCAACATCACCTACTTGCCAGCTAGTGACATCAGTAGTATTTTCTAGTGAGATATCAAACTTAGCATTACTCATAGAAATTTCAACATCTAATTGCTTAACTTCAATACAATCTACTTCAAGAGATGAGTTTCTAGAGGAATAATATCCAGGCTTCACTTGATTAACTTTTAAAGTTTCAAATATAGTTTGCCTTCCTAGAAAAGAATATGTTTATTAGAATTAGACATAAGAAAAATAGCTTGTGGCAAATTGTTAAATAGAAAGGTAAACTTCAGAGCTTTCACCAGAAGGAAGCAAGACAAAAATGCACAATTCCTCTATAAACACAATACTCATGCACAAGTTCATCGAGAGTGGAAATATCCAACCTCATTCAACGTAATTCATTCCGCATAAGAAAATGTAAAAATAAATTCTCAACAACCCAAAAGGGATAAATTAACGTGAATTAACTGGTTGGGCATCCCATAGATACAGCAATGATGATTAACTCACTAGGCTTCATGCATACTCTCCGGAGCTATTCCCTTCCATTTGTGTTGTATGACTACCAATCGACGCCATTTCAATCTTATTGTAGTTGCTTTGGAGAAATGGAGGTTGTGGAAGGGCGATTGACATGATTTCACCAAATTGGGACAACTAAGTGTTGGAATCTGTAGAATTTGGAGAAATGGAGGTTGAGGAAGGGTGATTAACATGGTTTCATCAAATTGGGACAAGTAAGTGTCATAATCTATAGAACTTGGAGGAATTGAATTAGACTTCAGGAGATAGCCACAGATAAAGAATTTCGAAGGATCAAATGAATGCCAAACGATAACTCAAATAAGCTAGGGATAAGTTTTTGACGCTATAGAAATCTATTTAAATCATATTATATTTATTGAACCGAATGGATGTAATTGAGGCTATCGGTCAATAAGGTAAGTACATCATTTTCCCAATACTAAATAATTGTATATTTTTAATTTTAAGAATTAGATCAATTAGTTTATAAGTATTATATTGTAAGTTATGTTTAGATTCAAATTTTGGGCCCAAAATTTAAAGTAATTAATTCTTTTAAACAAATTAATTTGATATAAAAGTAAATTGTTAAAACTACTTATAAAAAATTTAATTTTAAGGTATGCAAAGCTTACTTTAAAAACACTTTAACAATAAAAAAAATAATAGAAATAAAGTGTGTGAAACCTACTGTAAGACCTCCTTAACCAGCAAAAAATAATAATAATAAATAATGGTATATTTTCACATAATATGTTAGAGTAATTTAAGAGAAAAAGTACTAAAATTTTGTTCAACTGCTAACAAGTCCATGCAGAAACAGCGTACAGGGGTCTATCATGCCAACAAATCATCAAGCTCGCCCTCTCATCTACAATCTTATACCCTTCTCTTCCACAAGTTTCCACCATCTTCTTCGCGTCTTCCATGGCGTCGGACCACATCCGGACCGGCTTAAACCCTACTTGTCCGAACCGAACCATCCACCTCCCATACCTCTCATGCCTCTCCTCCCTCTCCACCCCCTCGCACGCCACGATATTTTCTATCTCCCTCCCGAACATTTCCTCCAAATCCACCCTTTCCTCACCGGCTGCTGCCAAGGTGGCGTCTATGGAGTCGAACACTGCGCTGTAATAGTGCAGACCCTCCACAAATCGGTCGACTAAGCGGGTCTGATTGTGATCGGCTTCTTGCTCTACTAAGAAGAGAACTTTAGGTGACATTGAATGGAGTGATGATAGGAATTGATCCATTTGCCGGCAGTCCTTGATGATGGCATTATGTATGTTATTATTTCTGCCACCGAAATGGGCGACAACTCTGTCGTCTTCTGCCAGCAATTCGTGAAGTTTCAGTACAGATATAAAAGCCAGTGCTTCCCCTGTTCTTACTCTGAGCATGTCTATTGTTTGCTCAGTTAATCGGGTGTTTATGGGGTTGAATTGGAAGGGCATGTTTAGGGATTCTGCCTCTTTTACAAGTCTTCGCCCAAGATTTTCCAGAGCGATTTTGTCATTGTTCACGCAAGTGATCTTCAAATGAGGGGTTTGGTTCGGCAATCGTGAAAAGCTCCGGAGAAGGGGAACCCAGAATTTGGCGTCGCTGGAACCCAAATCGACGATATGGATCATCCGCTCTTCCGCCATGGTTTGGAGCAGTGTTCGGGTTATGATGGCGTAGGCGAAGACGAGGTAAGGGAAGGCTTGTGAAAGCAGGGGCTTAGCCCGAACCAATTCTTGTTTGGGCCATTGATGGGTCAAGTTCAGGGCCTTGTACAGGCCCGGCCACCGCTTAACTAGGCGGACGGCGAGGGCAGAGGCAAACCTAGTGGCGAGGCGCTGCATGGAGTCACCGGAGATGGAAGCAAGCTGGGATATCTGGCGGAGGCACTCGTCAGCTCTGTGAACGTTACCAGAGGAGGCATGCTTGGCACAGATAAGGAGGAGTTGGATGAGACAAATGCCTCTTTCCTCAGGCTTCAGACCTTCCTCCGGTGTTGACACGGCCGGAGACGGTGACAGAGCAAGGGACAAGGTGATTTCCGGCTTTGGAGACCGCAAAGATAAACCCAGTTCAGGCCTATGCAGTATATTGTGGATGCTTCTGGGGTCAGCCATGGATGAGAAGAAAGGATCTGAGGATTCCTCAAGACTTATTGGAGAATCATTTTGCAGGAGTAGGTGGAAATGAAAACAAGCGCATGCTGTAAAAAAGTTTATAGACGGACCCAAACAAGAGAGTACAAAAATAAAATGTTTTTACATTTTATATTTAAAGGACAAATTCATTAAATAAAGTAATAAAACATGTTTACAAGTACATAAAACATTTTATTTATATATATTCACTTGTTTAATATTATATTATATTATACTCATTTAATATTATAATTGTAAAGTTAAAATTTAATATTATATTATAATTATATAGATTATTATTTCACAAAATATTAAATTCTAAGGCTAGTTTTGAGTTATCAAAAATAGTCAATTAAGATATAAATAAAAATGAAATATAACAAGTATATATAGATTATGGAAGAATCAATCATATATGTGTATTTCCAACACCAAACTTTTGTCCATCTTACTCCCCAACAAGGCTGAAGGAGACAACTCTTCCAATGGAAGTTCATCAACCTAATTTTAGGGAGTGCCATCCACCTCACCTGTCAAATCGTAATAGAGTAAAGTGCATTAAGATGGAGGAAGAGGAGACCAACAAACAGTTCCAGTAACATTTAACTTTTATGAGTCCCAAACGACCAAGAATATTAATGGGTCTAGAAGTTACAAAATCATTGGCTAGCATTTCTTTTTTTTAGCTCCAAAATCACTATTTGTGGACTGAGTTTCTTGTCTAGAATAAAATGCTTTCCAAAAGTTCAAGTACCAATTCTTTTCAGGACAGAGATAGGATTTGCATCCTCTGTAGGAATCTCAGTATAATTTGTTTTGCTTGCGTGAAACAGAATTACGGAAATCTGAGATTCATCGCTGCATCCAGTGTATAAATATATGCACAAAAACAACAAACCCTAGCACAAAAAGACAGAAATTGAAGGCATTAGTTCGAACATCAATATGATACATGTTCAAGCATGAGTATATCAGTTCATGAACTTAAAAAAATTAATTGGATGGAAACAAAATTACTAGTATAATCAAAGGATGTGTTCTAAGTAGTTGACTTACATTTAAATACCGCCTATCCATGTCATTCTATTGTCACTTTGCTCAAGGCTGGTTAGAAAATCAGCATCGGAAGCAATAGAGGTCAGGCAGTGGAGGCCAGAAGACCTTATCACCGCAATCGGAAGATGAGCAGACGGTTCAGGGATTTGTAGGTCCCAACTTTGATTGTTCCTCATACAGTCATAACAAATTCAAGAATCACGTTGAAAAACCAAAGCATTGCATAGACATGGATAAAAACAGGGATTGGGAAGTGAATTTGGTGGACATTCTTAATCTCAGATGCAGCCAAATACTAAAATACAATGAAAATGGTTGAGATAGTGGAGAATCCAAAGTAATAAATAAGATATGACAATTGTTGTGGCCATGTAAAGAAAAAACCTATATTTATCTTTGTCTTTTCCTTTACACATAGCAATGAGAAGTACATATAGGCAAAATACTAATTATTTATTTTTCCTTCTCCTTTTCTTATGAATAACTCAAAACATCTATATATGCATGCATTCAAGTACAAACCACAAATATAGGCTTTTTTTTATATATTAAATGTTTTCAAAATTCTAACTTAACATCCTCAATATAAAAACTTAAAACTCTTAATCATTAAAAAAACGCTAATTGTTAATCTTAAATTAGGGTAAAATTTTTTTAATAAATCTGTGTAATATAGAGTGAGGAAGAGAAGGTTCACACTGCTCCACTAAGATAGGAAAAAGAAAAATAATTGATACATACTCAATTTAACGTATTTTTTAATATTCATTTTGATTTAGTTATTAAAATATTTTATAAGTATAATCAATTTAATTGATTTTTGCATCTTCTATGTAAGATTGTATTTGTAATTTTGTCTGTTTTTAATTTTAAACTAAAAAATAACGATTATTTAATAAATATGTTATGTAAATGTATTAAGGGCTTATTTGGTGTGACTTGTGAGAGTTTTTACTTTTTTTTAATATTGTTATGAGTGATAAATTTAAATTTTTATTGGAAAGAAAATTTAAATGTTGCTTTTACAGATAAGAAAAAGTAAATAAAAAATGAGTACAAAAGAGTTTATGAAAAGTTTAGATTTGAAACTTTTAAGTTTTTACTATTTAAAATCTTTTTAAGGTTAAAAAAAATTTAAAAATATAAATTTTTAAAAGAAAAATTTTAACTTATGAAATATAAATAGTATCAAAAAATTGAAACTCCTACGAGCTCTACCAAACAGCTCTAAATCAATAACACTCATTGTCTAATTAGAAGAAAAGCTAAATAGAATTTTAACGAAATGGGCAGACCATGAATTGGATTAATTTCAAGCGCCTCCATGGATTTCAAGTTAGAAAATAAGAAAGTCAGAATTTTTCTCTATCTATCATGGAATTTGGGACAAAGATTATGACACAGCACAAACAGAAATCCAACCAAAGCTTCAACTAGATTCTTAATGCACATGTCATGCTGTGTCATTGTGCAGCTGTCATTTTGCAAATGGATGATTCGTTTGTACAAAAGAAACTTGTCCTTGTAGCTAGCATTGTTTTTTCTATGGAGTCTAAACACAGAAAGACATTTTAAGGGTGAGAATATTTGAGAGTATCTCTCTGCTCCAGTAATGCTTGTCTTGGCAGATGAGCTCAGTTACTGGATGCAGCAAAAATGGATTCTGAATCCAAGGATTTGAGGCTGGGAAAGGGAGAAGCCACCGGAAGCTGCACCGAAGAGGAGAAATCGGAAAGGGAATCCCGGGAAATCCTTTCCTCATTGATCAGACTTCAGAGTGGCTAGCTTCCGGCGGCTGTGATTTCCAATTCCAGTTGAGGGTTTGTTATCGTGGGCTGATTAAAGATGCACAGCCCAACGAAATATCTATGTGGACTGAGGCCACCAAATAACATCCTTCCGACCCAAAGTTGGGAAAAGAAGTAGCCCAAACCTGAACCTTGAAATTTTCAAAATTCCTCACACCCTTTCAAGATTAAACTTTTTTTTTTTTTTGGAAGTTTGAAATACACAATCTATCTTAATATGGACTCACACAATAGTAATTATATGAAATTAAAGGAGTAAATTTATATTAATTTATGTATCATGTAAAATTATGAGATAAAATTCTGAATGAATTATTTATAAGTAATCTTTTTTTTTATAATTAAAAAAATGAGATTATTTAATATTTCCTTCTCATATGACCTGTAAATAATAATTTCCAAGAGATACTTGGCGATCGTATTTGGATTGCCTTTTTCTTTTCTATTGTAACGAATCTAATTCAATGATGTTTGTGCTTTGTTTATGCTTATGCCTTCTAGATATCAAGCGTTATTAATCTATTGAGTTTTAACTTTTTCACATCTCATCATGTTAATAATGTTATAATTATAATATTATAAATATTATAAATTTATAATCTTAATATAACATTAAACTAGTAGATATATATAATATTATAAATCAATTTTTATATAAAAAAATTAATTATATAAAGATACATTACATTATAAACTTACAATATCACATAATATTATAATCATAATATTATCGGTCAACATATTTCTCTTCCAAGTAAGTGACTAACTAAGTGGATTATCGATTATGTCACTACTTAAACTTTTTGTTAGAATTAGCTAGTGATGAACTCATAATAAAACCACTTCTGAAATACATTTAAAAAAAAAATCCTTTTAAGAATTGACACATCTTTTTCTTTTCCGTTTTCTTTAACTAAAACTGAAATGAATTTTTGTGACGCATCTTACATTGGTATGTTTTGCTAATGAAATTCAAACACGTAAATAAAATAATAATTCAAACACATAAATAAAATAATAAATAAGTGAATCTCATTTTTAATTACTCACACTTGTGTACAAATTAACTTTTAATAACATATTAAACTTTTATTTGTAACATAACTTTATTTACATGCATGTTATTCATGATAAATAAACAAATTAAGCCTATAAAGGGACATTCATGCTAGGGGTCCACTTTCCACGTTTTATTTTGTAAAGAGATCCATCTAGAAGCCTAACATTCCATGATTCATATCATATCTCTTTCTGTATTGAACCTTTAAGCTTATGATTCCCTTCAAACACCCTTTTCAGTCGTCTCTTCAAACAGAAAATTCCTCAAGGGTCACTAAGAATCTCACTCAATTACACCTATATTGATTCAAAGAAAATGATGGGAAAACAATTCAGCCAAAAATGCCTAATTTACATTCAATTGCATGCCTACCCCATATAGTACTTTGTTTTGAAGGGGAACTCAAAGAAGAATGAATACCAATAAAGTTATCCACTATCAAATACAGCAGTTTTTTCCTCATCATAATCTCTTTGAACTTTTGCAAGATCTTAATCCTTTGATGCCTTTATATTAATAAATAGTTTGTGTTACACATCAATACCTATAGATAGGCATTTAGGCATTAAAAATTTCGGTTTAACCTATAAATTAATGCCCTGACATTCCAAATATGCTAATACAAAAGCCAAAAGGTTTGATGTAGAAGTGATGACTCATTGAAATCTGTCCTTTATAACATATTTCAAATGCCCATCTTTGCTCTATTTGGCATCCTAGAAGCTTCATTTTGATTATAAAATTAATGTCATTAATTAGCAATAAAAAAAGTCCCAAAGTATGATTAAGGGTTGTTTATTTCAACAAGTGTTGTACAACCATAGGTCCATAGGGCAGAAGCTCGTTATCATTGAAACATCAACCACACCACCAACTCTACTGTCTTCCCTTAAATCTTATTACAGAATCAATGATATCGGAATAACTGGCTCTGATAATATGCAGGAGGCATGATGCTAAGGTTTTTCACAACACTTGTAGGTTTTGGATTGGCTAGAAAAATATGGAGCTGGCGTGCACCACACATGAACACTTGTTCTAAGATTAGAGGGTGGAAGGATCGACATAGTATAATAGGGAACCAAAGCTAAAGTTTGATTTAAAGATCTTTTTTAAAGTGGTAAGTGAGATCATCATCAAGGGGCACTATGAATAAAATAAAACATGGAAGTGACTGATTTAGGAGGATATATAAGAGGGAAGCCTACGGGCAGTTTGTGTCATACAATTTGGAGGCAACAATCATATATACGAAATTGAAAGTTAAATAATTGATTGCACATAGGAGAATATGAGGATGACTTGGGGAGTACCAGAACAAGGATGGAGGAAAGGGCCTTGGACTCCTGAGGAGGATCAGCTGCTCACTGAGTATGTCAACTTGTATGGAGAAGGAAGATGGAGCTCAGTAGCCAGGTGCGCAGGTAAAGTGTAGGTAAAGTGTACTTAAATTACTTCAGAGTCAAATATACAAAGAGAAGAAATCAGAGTCAGTAAATTAACTGATAGTGCTGAATAGATTTTTATTTTTATTGTTTTAGTGGAAGAGGGGGGCTAATTAACTAGCTAACTGAAGCAGACATGCTTTATGGTTTAGTATATATTATTTACTTGTTAATAATACTTTGGTTGACAAGAATATTGTGTTGTGCCATAGGGATCTGAATTCAGTGTACTTGTGTTTTTGTGCAGGGTTGAATAGGAGTGGCAAGAGCTGCAGGCTTAGGTGGGTGAACTATCTGAGACCTGGTCTTAAGAGAGGCCAAATAACACCTCAGGAGGAAGGCATCATCATTGAACTCCATGCCCTATGGGGAAACAAGTGATGCCCCCTTTCCCACTCTCTCTTTATGTCACAATTTCTATTCATACTTTCATAGACTCTCACCTGACAACTTAAATTTTTAGATTTAACAGTTTTTAACATAATATGAGAGTCAATCGTCCATTTCATACTAGTTTTGCTCTTATTTACTTTAACACGTTAGTTTAAAGCAAACAGTTCTCAACATGATATTAGAGTGCAGATTGTTTATTGTCTTGTTTGTCCTAAGGTTTTTTTTTTATTTATTTTATTCTTATTTATTCTATTGTGTAATTGATGTACGTGTGTATACAGGTGGTCTACAATTGCTAGATACTTACCAGGGAGAACAGACAATGAGATAAAGAACTACTGGAGAACGCATTTCAAGAGTAAGGAGAAATCCTCTCAAAAGCAAGAAAAGAAAAAGGTTCAGATTCTAAAACTGAAACAACAACAACTGTCACAGCTACAGGCACAACCAATTGAAGATCAAAAAGGGGTGTTATCTTATGCAGAAGCTGCGGCCGCCATCCCTGGATATGGCAGCAAGGGAATTGATCAGGCACCACAGGAAATTAGGCAAGAGATGGTGTTCATGTACCCTACTCTGGAGGACCAGTGCCTGCCTGTGATGATGATGCCTCAGGATTCAGCTTCTTGGTCTGATCATCAGCCTGTGTTGGATGATGGTATACCATGGGGTGGCCTGTGGAATCTGGATGATGATTATCACACTAGTAGTAACTGCAACAAGCTTGCTTTGCAAAATCAAGGAGTCAATAATTCTTCTTTGGGAGCCGATTCAGGCAATTTATGGAACGAAGGATATATTTTCTAGGAAAAAATTTTGGACATAATCAATGATGCTGCTCTAGTCTAATCAACTATGAATTATGTCTAATATATTGTCTTAATATCTTGTACTAGATTTTTTTTTTTAAATAATGTATGGACTGGGATTTGATTTTTAAGAAGGTTTTAAAATCAGTATTTAGAATTGACTGTAAAAAAGGCTAAAAGTAAGTGGGATTCCAAGGAATAGCATTCTTTTTCTAGTCACTAACAGAAAAAGGCCAGCACTAGTAAAAATTATTTGATTATTTTCTTATAGTTTAACAATAATGATCTCGGGTGTGCACCCCTCACATAAAGAAAAAAAATTAAACTGGATGCACACATCATTTTCCTTAAATAAATTCTAATTAAATTGGAACCTTTTTTTTATATATACTTTTATATGATATTTTAGGGCTCAAAACTTTTTTTTTTTTTTTTTTGAGAAGTCCAATCACTTATGCCTTGTAAAGGACAATCACATCTTAATGAAAATATGAGGTTTGAGTATCACCTCATGTTGAAAAAAAAAATAGCAATTTTTCTTTTTGCACGACAGCCCAATTTTCTTTTTTTTATTAACAATTGTGAGAAAGAAATATTAATTCCTTTTCTTTTTTCTTATAAAAACATTTTATACCGTAAAAAAAGAACATTTTTTTTAAAGAAATTTAAGTGAAAAAATCTTATATTTTTAAAATTAAAAAAAGAAGAAGCATACATATTGATTAAATTAAAAAAATAATTTACCTATTACAAATTAATTATAAATTACCTATTAGTCTTATATTAAAAATCATATCTTCAATTTTCACATTAACAAGAAACAATTTATAAGAAATTATATATATAAGATTAAAATAAGAACTAGACTGAAACTCGTGGAAAGTGGAACTCAGCCTCTACCATTACACCAGTGGTCTCATATTGGAACTGAATTCTTCATTTTAGTTTGATTTTCCGACCATATGAGGTTTTATGGAACTGATTTCTCATTACTATTTGCAAAGTCACAATTTTTTTTCTTTGTTTGTCCTTTCTAGGCAAATAAAGAGGAAGTGTTGTTGTACCAACTGTGGTTAATAATTTCTTAATGATACAAATAAAATTTTATTATGAAACTTATTTTTTCTTTGAATAAGTACAATTTGAGGTAAAAGATGAGGAATTATAGTATGATAGTCATAATGTGAATCTTAATTATCGTTAAGATATTATGTGCACTTGTTAAGTATCTTATAAAGCATAATACTTTTATTATGAAACTTGAGTGATGATTGTACGTGGAATCTAGTTAAGCTTAGATTAAAATTATAAAGTAAAACAATCATTTTTTTTATAAATGATAACAATGATGATTGATTCTTACATCTACTTCATTTAGTTTTTTAAAGTCCGACTCATCACCTTCCTAGTGTGCATTTCGCATAATTTTGTCTGATTTCTTAACCGCAAAAAAGCTCAAAATGTATCACTACTGCTACTAACCAATGTTAATGGTTTAGTTGTTAAGAAAAAGTATATTTCATATCAAGTTACATGTTTAAGAATAT